CTCGCGCTCATGAGTCCATCGCAGTGGAGTTGGCCTTGTTCACTGCCGAGGTCTGCGCGTTGGCGTCGAGGTGCGGGGCCCTTCTGGACTCTGGAGAACCCCGCGCCATCACGTCTGTGGGAGGTCGGGCCCATCGTTGACCTCATGGGGCTCTCCGAGGTGTCAAGGTCTCCTTCCGCATGTGCCGGTATGAGGTCTCGCGCAGGAAGCCCGCCACTATCCTCGCCAACATGGCGGCCCTGCGGGGCCTTGAGGCGACGTGTTTTGGGGGCCATGTGCATCGCGTTCTTGGCGGTCAGGAACGAGTCTCGGTTCTTGTTGGAGTCTGACGTTCGCAGTGTAAGACGAAGGCAGCAGGCACGTATCCGTGCTCAAAGTGGCCCTCACTTGTCTATCGCGTTTCACCCATGTTAGCGTCGGGTCCTCAGCTACCGCTCTTCGATCAACGCGATGAAGCTCATTCGGCACTTGTTGGGCGAAGGGGACCTCGCCCCGTCCAGAGAGAAGCCGAGAAGGGGCTCAGTGAAGAGCTCGAGGACCTCGAGCGCTTTGAAAAGCACATCTTCGAGAACAGCCATCGATTCGGCGCCGCCAGCCAGCCCGGGCCGCGGCGACGGAAGGCTCGGCAGAGACAACAGGTCGCGTCCCGAGCCGCGGCCCCGCCTGATCGGTTCTTGCAGGGGTGCACGGCGGGCGAGAAGGCTAAAGACATCAACCGTCTGGAGCTGCTCCGCTTCCGCGACTGGGCGGAGCAGCGCGGCCGCGGTGCCGGCGAGGGGCCTCGCCTCTACGATGAAGGAGTGCGTGTTCCACGTGTGCCAGCAGGGGCGTGGGCCCGCCTGCGTCGGCTGGCTACCTACCTTCAGGTGCGCTCTGCGAACTTTGCCGACTACGCGCTCGAGTGGGGCCGCCTCCGGGACGTCGCGCGGGCGCTGTCTGGTTGGGGCAAACGAGCCCGCGAGGGCGTGGAGGACCCAACCCCTCAGGAGGGGCTGCTCGACGCGGGCGTCTGGGCGGTGGGCGACGGCCGCGGCGACGGCGCAGCCTGCGCGGCGCTGCAGCTGGGAGGCTGCGGCAGGCCGTGGGGGACATCGAGCTCGCCCAACGCGCCGTCGCCGGTGGCGGGCGCTGGCGGGGCCCCCTCGCGAGACTGGGGTGTCATCTTCGCGCCCGCCGAGCTCGCGTGCGTGACCGAGACTGGCCAGGTCGACGAGTCCGTCGCGTTGGGGGGCCCATCGCGGCCGCGGGTGCAGAGGTGGCATCGGCATTGCTCGCGAGAGCTTCGCGACGCGCCTTTCGGTCAGGCGCCATTGTGTCTGCCCCTGGCCCGAAGACGCCGCTCCCCCCCAGCCTGGCCCTCAGTCAGTGCGAGAATGGCTTCGGGATGGCCGCCGCGAGCCTAGGCCATGAGCGCCTGGGGCGCGGTGCGGCGTGCAGCGCCCTCGCGCGACATCTACCGCAAGCGCAGCACCTCGGGGCAGGTTCGTCGGCGGGGGCGCTGGGCGGCCAAGGAGAGTGCAACGCGTTGCGGACGTCGCGCTGAGTTGCCGAAGCAGCATGCGGAGCCCGACCAGGCGCAGATCGCTTGGACGAGCCGCTCAGCTACTCGTTGTGCACCAGCCGTAGTCCAACATGTTCGCGACAGTTGACTTCACAGCCTTCGCCTGGCAGAGGTGTTCATGAAAATGCCCGCCCTCGCCGCCGTGGAGAACGCGACAGTGCCCCATAATGCCCATATGGATGACAATATGGGCGATCCGAGTCTCGGACTGTTTGGTAGCGCGCTCACTTCTTTTCGTCGGCAACCTTGTACGGACGGATGGCTTCGGCCGAGCAGCTGGGCCATCCGAATCATGATGCACGTGTGAATATTATGGGCCTTTCGTGCTTCCGACGGCGTAGGTTTCCTTAGAGGCTCTGGTCGTGGGGTAGGGTTGCGAGGAAACATATACATGTTTATAGTCATGCGTATATATATGTATATATATATATATATATATATATATATATATATTCTTATATATATACACATACACATTTGTATCCTGCTATCAGTATTACTATCACATGTACATGTGTATATCGGAGGTGAGGGGGTGAGATCGAAGTGGGACGGAGAGCCCCCCAACCGGGAAATCGGTTTCGGTTTCGTGTTCGTGCGTGCTGTGCGTGCGAGCGAGGCGAAGCTGCGTGGGCGGGCGAGAAATGTCCCGCCTCTGGCTGAGGCGTGGCCGGGCCAAAAGTCTCCCTTCCAGCAACCGGTGCCCCGCGGTGTTCCGCCGGTGTCCCGCCGGTGTCCCGTCGGTGCCCCCATGATGATGACGATGCTGACGATGTTGATGATGAGGAGGATCATGAGGCTGGCCATGGTTGTGATGATGATGGTGTCCCGATGGTGATTATGTTGATGATGTTGATGTTGCTGATGATGATGATGGTGTCCCGATGATGATGGCGATGTGGTTGATGATTCGGATGATGGAAATGATGCTGAGATGATGAGATGGTGATGATGCAGCTGATGATCAGGATGATGGTGTCCCGATGATGATGATAAGGTTGATGAGGACGCTGCTGATGATGATGGTGATGATGATGATGGTGCCCCGATGATGATGATGTTGATGAGGATGATGGTGGTGGTGTCCCCATGAGGATGATGTTGTTGATGCAGATGATGATGCGGTGGTGATGATGATTTTGATGGTGGTGGCCCGATGATGATGATGCTGATGTTGATGATGATGGTGTCATGATGGCGATAATGCTGATGGTGACTGCGATGATGGTGTCGAGGATGATGGTGTCCCGGTGATGCTGATGTTGATGATGATGATCATGTTGCTGCTGATGATGACGGTGCCCCAGTGATGATGATGATGTTGTTGACGATGTTGTTCATGATGAAGCTGATGAGATGATGATGATTGTGGTGGTGTTCCGATGATGATGGTGGTGTCCTGATAATGGTGTTGATGATGATTACGGTGACGATGATGGTGTCCCGATGATGGTGATGATGGTGATGATGATGATGTTGGCCATGGTGGTGATGATGATGGTTTCCCGATGATGATGAGGTTGATGATGCTGATGTTGCTGATGATGATGGTGTCCCGATGATGATGATGATGATGCTGTTGATGATGATGATGTTGCTGATCCTGGTGATGTTGATGATGATGATATGATGAGATGATGATGGACATGATGATGATGGTGATGGTCCCACGATGATGATGATGAGTCTGATGATGATGCTGTTGATGATGGTGGTGGTGATGATGATGGTGTCCCGATGATGATGATGTTGTTGATGATGATGATGGCGAGGATGGTGTTCGATTGTGATCATGATGTTGTTGGTGATGAGGACGGTGATGTGGTTGTGATGATTTTGATGGTGGGGGCCCGATGGTGATGATGATGCGGATGTTGATGATGATGATGATCATATCCCGATGATGATGCTGGGAATGATGATGGTGACGATGATGGTGGTGTCCTGATGATGCTGGTGTTGATGATGGTGTTGCTGTTGATGATGAAGATGGTGTCCCTATAATGATGATGCTGACGATGTTGTTCATGATGCTGCTGCGATGATGATGTTGATGGAGTTCCGATGATGATAGTGATGCTAATGCTGGGAATGATGATGGTGGTGTCACGATGGTGATGATGTTGATGATGCTGATTGTGACGATGATGATGTCCCGATGATGATGGTGATGGTGATGTTGATGATGATGGTGATGAGGTGATGATGATGGTGTCCCGATGATGATGATGATGACGATGATGATGATGATGATGATAATGATTGATGATGATGATGATGATGATGATGATGATGATGATGATGATGATGATGATGATGATGATGACGTTGATGGCGATGATGCCGATGATAATGATGATGACGTTGATTATGAGATCGATTGCGATATCGGTAGTGATATCGAGAGTGGGACCGAATGTGAGATATATTGTGAGATCGATAGTGGGGTCGATAGTGATATTGATTGTGATATCGATAGTCATATCGAATGAGAGATCGATCGAATGAAATAGATCGAATGATACCGACTGTGGTATCGATCGGGTGATATCGATCGAGCGAGACCGATCGTGAGATCGATAGTACGATCGATCGTGAGACCGATCGAGTGAGACGTTGGTTCCTCCCTCCCCCCCGAACCTCCTTATCACCCGAAGGGTGGTCGTATAGGTATATATATATATATGTATGTATGTATATATGTATATATAGAATTCTCGACCCCCTCTTTCAGCTCCCTTCTGTATGTTGTAACACATCCGCATATCACGGCTCAGCAATTACACCTTCTCGTACCGTACAACATGGTATAGTTGTTCATGCCAGTGTGCTGTACATGCATACTTCGTTGCCCGCTCATGCCCTCTTGTTGTGTTTAATGTAAAGGTCGCGTTATTATTTTTAAGTACTACAGACTCGCATTCCCATCGTATCTCTGTTCGCCTCTATCAATTATGTTCGTACGCTGCTATCTTCCTCGCAGGTTCGTTGGCCCATGTTCTTTTACATGTTGCGTAGCTTGTTGTAGTACTTCCCGTCCCAAGTCGTATACCACATTATCGGATTTGATGTATCATCTTCTCATGTTGCCTCTATGCGTCATTGTATCCTCACTGGCACGAACAAGCAGCAGAGTTTTTTTCTCTCTCTCTCTCTCTCTCTCTCTCTCTCTATGTATATATATATATATATATATATATATCTATCCTTCTCTCTATGCATGTATATGTATGCACATGTTTGGTTCTCTCTCTCTGTCTCTCTCGAGTCCTCCACCTTCTGCCTCCCCCTGTTCACCTCTTCTTCCCTTCTCATCCTCCTCCCCCTCTCACCCCCGCCTCCTTGTCCCTCTCCCCCCAAACCTCCCCCTTGCTTTCTTCTTGTTTTCCCCTGGTTCCCTGGCGCCCCCCCCGAGTCGGGGCCAGACGCCCCCCCGGAGGCGCCCCCCGAGTCGGGATCGGACGCCGAGCCGCTGCCCTTCTGGGGCGAGCACCTTGCGCGCGGGCAGGCGGCCCCTTCCCAACGCTCTGGGAAGGAGGAGGGGGGTGGGAGAGGGGGAGGGCGACGGGGGAAGGAGGTAGGACTGGGGGAGGGGGGTGGGTAGGGAGGGATAGGAGAGGGGAGGGAGGGGTGCGGGGGGGAGTGGGTTAGGGCAGGGGTTTTCCAGGATTTCCGCCATCACGTAGTGATATTACACAAGCCGCCCTCTGAGCTCGAAAGCGAAGACGCCGAACCAGAGGACGAAGGACAGGTACCAGCAGAAACTTATGAATATTGCCCAGACGCAGAAGCTGACCCATACACGACCTGATAACAGCAATACCACGAGAAAACTGCCATGCCAGCCCAAATGCATATAAAAACTGAAGCTGTGCCGCCGAGTTGACACCACATTGACATAACCAGTGGCTAAGCGGAAGTGAGTTTGTCTCTATAAGGCCCTAGCCGTGGATCACTGGGCTAACTCTCGCAAAGAAGGAAGGAGCTCGCCTCACCCACAGACCACCTCGCCCCAGCCGAACAACGGAAGTGCCACCGACAGCAGAAGCCCCAGACTGCAACACTTGCAAAAATCAGCACGCTTGCAATACAATCCAGAGCAGGATACAGAAGCATACAAAACTGTAAGAAGAGATGGTACGCCCAGGCCGCGGGGTGAAGGGCTTAAGTGGGCTCGCAGCCCCCGTGCCTCCAACCCAACCCACGGTATGGGACAGAACTTCAGGAAGATGAGCGGCATATGTATGCCCAGGCCGAGGGGTGGAGGGCTTAGATGGGCTCGAAGCCCGCGTGCCTCCAACCCAACCCCCGCCCTGGGCCGGAACTTGCAGAAAACTCCCGTGAACACTGACCATACCCAGAGCAGCCCAAATGGAAGTACCCTCCAGCTCGTTCTGCCTTAACCATGGCCCTGTAAGGTTCATTAAGAAAAACTGCATATTGCCAACTCGAAGACCTTGCCAAAAACAGCCCTTCTGGAGAAGGCACCACGCCGCGAAACGGCGTCATGATACCCTCCATATTGTTATGCCTTTGCCCAATGCCCCAATAAAACTGCATGCGTAGCCGATGAACCCACTGCCTGAGACGGGACTTCACGTAGCCGAAGAGGTACGCCCAGGCCGAGGGGTGAAGGGCTTAGATGGGCTCGAAGCCCGCGTGCCTCCAACCCAACCCTCGGCCTGGGACGGACGTTGAAATTGATGTTCAGGAGGAACCCAAAACACCAATCTTGCAAAACTCGTCGACCGCAAACTTTGCACTGTACTAGCCAACCGCACGAATGTAACAACTGTTGTGTCGCAGTCAAGCGGTGCCCCTCAAGCACCACGGGGAGGTTCAGTGCAGGACAGGGAGCATGCCGAGATGAGCCAAAAAATGGTTCTACTGCGCTCCGCGCCCCTGAGCTTGAGGGGTTAGGGCAGGGGTGGAGGGAATGAAGGGAGGGAGGGAGGAGAGGGGGAGAGAAGGAGGGAGGGTGGGAGCGAGGGAGGGGAATGATGATGAGGAGGAGGAGGACGAGGAGGAGGAGGAGGAAGAGGAGGAGAAGGAGGATGAGGAGGAGGAGGAGGAGGAGGAGAGAGAGGAGGAGGAGCAGGAGGCGGAGGAGGAGGACGAGGAGGAATTGGACGAGCAGAGCAGAGCAGTACAAATGATCCGATGACGTTAAACTGTCTATATAAACGCACCCTGATGGACCTCAGGAAAACAACAAAAACGGATCAGGCGTTCGAGAACCGTTTTAGGTGCTCGAGATTATTTAGGGCCCTGCAGGGGAATACCACTGGCAAAACGAGACCCCAAACGGGAACGCCTCAGTGGGCACTCCACACGACATAGCGAGCCGAAGGGTGAACGACGAATAAGCCCACCCCGGCACAACATAGCGCAGTAGCAGCATAACTGCAGGTCAAAGCCGTGGAAAGACAAACGTATTGAGATTGTCAGAAGGGAGTTCAGCTCGAATCGGTCGGGCCCGAAATCGCGCAATCGATCGCAACGACAAAAGGAGGAGAGGAACGGGTCCAGGCCACATACAACTGATTGAGTTTCGTTCTGGGATGGGGCCCTGGTCAGATTCGCGGCGATCACTTCCGACTTGTGTGCAGAAGCCTTCTGCGTGAGCGCTTTTGTGAATTCACATGATGGAGTCCACAGGAAATAGCGGGAAGGTGTCGAACAGCGGTTCCGCGACGGTTACTTCCGACTTGTCGGCAGAAGCTTTCTCGTTCATGATTGAGTCCAAGGTGAAGCCAGAGCTGAGCAGGAAGGTGTCGAACAGCAGCCAGAACGGTTCCGTGACGGTGACTCCCAACTGGTCGGCAGAAGTTTGCTTCGTGATCTCGCTCATAATGGAGTCCGCGTTGAAGCCTAGAATGAGCAAGATGGTGTCGAGCAGCAGCAAGAACTGAACTGTGAAGGTGACTCCCAACTGGTCGGCAGAAGCTTTCCCCGTGAGCTGGCTCATGGTGGAGTCCAAATTGAAGCAAGATGTGAGCAGGAAGGTGCCGAACAGCCGACTTGTCGGCGAACATTTCTTCGTGAGCTTGGTCCTGATGGAGTCCAAATTGAGCAGGAAGGTGTAGCCCAGCAGCCATGGCAGATCCGTGACGGTCACTTCCGCCTGCGCCTGCATGACGCTTCCTGTGTGTGCCGACTCGTCGTACTCCGAGGTCGTGCTGTCGCCCGTGATGCCCTCCTGGCCCTGATGCATGCGGTCCATGTACTCCTGTAGGTTAGACGTCTCGTCCCCGAACTCCGACAGGTGCATCAGCTCCTCGATGACGCCGCCTGTCTACGGCGTTTGCGATGCTGTGCTGGGCGAGGCTGATACGAGGCCCAGCCCTCGAGGAAGAAGTGAGAGCCAGCAGCCCATACGGAACATCTAAACGCAATTGGCACGGGTAAGTGTGTGGGGATGCCTCAGTGATGAGGCATGAAGGGGAGGATGGGAGCACGGGCTCCTGGCGCCCAAACATCCGCGTGCTCCTGACCTAGATGTCTTGGAAGAGGACGACGAGGAGGAGGAGGAGCAGAAGGAGGATGAAAAGGAGTAGGATGAGGATCGCAAGGAGAAGGATGAGGATGGGAAGGAGAAGGAGGATGGGGAGGACTTCTATGACACTCAGCATGGATGTGTTTGTTCATGCTGCCCGTGATAGTGATGGTGACGATGTTGGTTGGGATTGAGACGACGATTCAAATGATGCTGATGCTGATGCTGCTGATGATGATGCTGGTGATGCTAATGATGTTGTTGATGCTGTTGATGCTTATGCTGCTGATGATGATGCTGATGCTGATGCTGATGCTTATGGTGATGTTGAGAACGATGACGACGACGCCGACGACGACGATGGCGTCGACGATGATGGTGCTGCTGCTGCTGCTGCTGCTGCTGATGATGATGATGATGATGATGATGATGATGATGATGTAGCTGCTGCTGCTTCTGATGATGAGGATGCTGATTATGATGACGGTACAGATGACGCTGACGATGATGATGCCGATGGTGGTGACGCTGTTGATACTGATGCTGAGGATGATGGTGAGGCTGCTTTTGCTGATGATGATCATGCTGATGCTGATGATATCGATCACGGTAGTGATTATGACGACGAGGCTGATGGCGATGACGTCGATGTTGATCATGATAATGATGCTGCTGATGCTGATGCTGCTGCTGATGATGCTACTGATGTCGATGATGCTGACGCTGATGATGCTGATGGTGATGCTGATGCTGATGATGCTGATGGTGATGATGATGCTGATGATGACGATGCTGATGATGACGAGGCTGATGATGCTGATGATGATAATGATGTCGATGATGCCGATAATGATGATGCTGACGATGCGGATGGTGATGGTGATGATGATGATGATGATGATGATGATGGTGATGATGATGATGATGCTGGTGATGGTTGTAATGACGACGACAATTATAATGACGATTGCGATTCATACGAACCTGGCTACGATTACGACAACCATTGTGGTACTGGTGATGATGATGATGCTGCCGATGCGGCTTCCGACGATACGTGGACGATGGTGATGTCGATGATGCTGACGGGTCTGACGACGGTTACCATGATGATGATGATGATGATGATGATGATGATGATGATGATGATGATGATGATGATGATGATGATGCTGGCATGGATGGCAAGAACGATGACGACTGATTATGGCAACCATCGTGATGGTCATTGTGATGATGATAAAGATGACGGTGGTGTTGGTGGCGCTGCTGATGGTCCAGTGAGGAACTTACGAAAAGCCCAAGGGCAGACAGTCCAAGGCGGCAGGACTGGCCAGTCCTTCCTCGGCGCCGAGCGAGTGCATCGGCCCTGAACGTGCCAACCCGGCCCACAACCACCCACGTGGGAGGAGACGAAGGATGATGAGGAGGGAGATGAGAGTAGGAGGAGGGACGAGGATAAGGGAGGATGGGGAGGAGAAGGAGGAGGAGGAGGAGCTGGAGGCGGAGGATGAGGAGCAGGAGCAGGAGGAGGAGGAGGAGGAGGAGGAGGAGGAGGGGTAGGAGGAGGAGGAGGAGGGGTAGGAGGAGGAGGAGGAGGAGGAGGAGGAGGAGGAGGAGGAGGATTACCAGGATCACCGCCATCGCGTGTGCGATATTAAGTGAGGTGACTACTCCCCTCCCTATCTGCCAGCCCTATGTGGAGCCCGCGAGTGAACCTGTCGAGGTACTCGCGACGCGTCTTGGTCAAAGGCTGGACTCCGCACGGCTTTCCCTGACCACGGAGCTGGTCCTGGGTAAAGAAGCCGCCACCTTTACACATCCATGCTTTGTGAACCGTACCGAAGGTCGAATTATGCGTGGGGTGGGCCCAACCTCCAACGATGTGTAAAGACCGCCCTCGGGGGCGTCTGAAATTCCTACCCTCAACGGCCCCGAGGGGACCACACTCATTTTTTGGACAGACACGCTCATCAACGATGGTGCTAGAAGATCTGCAGACCTCACAGGCC